TCAATTTTTGGACTTATAAAAAACTATGAACAAAAATGTTTGTATTCATAAGCATAAACAAAGTTATGTGTAAATATACATATGTAAAAGATTCATAAAAATAAATCAAGTTCTGTTTAATATAGCTGCAAAAAAAAAAAAAAAATCTTGTGCAGTCCTCTTGCCAATGACTGGGAAGATTTTGGCTGTTGTGGAGAATGCTAAGAAGTTCTCAGGCACAATATTATTAAACAATACTCAAATAGAACACTACAGAGCCATAGCAAAGACCATACACATCCCTGTCAATACAGCTGGTTTGATAATATGCAAAGGGAAAGTTCAAGGAACAATAACTAATCTTCCCCTCGCAGGTGCACTACACAGATTTCACAACAAACTCTCATACTAATGATAAGGAAGGTAAGAGAAAAGCCAGCAGTTGAATCTCAAAAACAGTTGCACAGTTTACACAAACAACAATAAGCAATAAATTTCACTGCAATCATCTCCATAACAACACTTCATGCAAAACCCCTCTGCTAAAAAAGAAGTACAGAGATGTGCATCTAAAATTTACACACAAGCATTTACACAACACTTTTGAAATGTATTCTGTTCAGACAACAGTAAAACTCTTTGATAATCAGCTGATCATAAAGAGGGGATGCGGATGTGTTGCCAAGAACACCACACTCACAGTCAAGTACGGAGGGAGTATCATGATCTGAAGCTGCCTCTCTGCACATGGTATGAAGGCAAGGGGAGAAGACGGACGTTTCAACAAGGCACCAACCAACATACAGCCCAAATAAATCAAGACTCAAAGCTGTTTTCTAAAAACAATGTGAAGGTGCTTGCATGCCCTAGCCAATCATCTGACATGAATCCCATTGAAAATGGTGATATTGTGGTGCATCAGTGGGATCTGCATAACCTTGGGGAGCTGAAGTTGGTTTGCCAAGAGTAATGGGCCAAAATTGACCCACAATGCTGCAAAAAGTGAATTACTTCTTACTATAGACATCTCAAAGCTGTAGCACCAATGGTTTTGCTTCAAAATACTAATGTTATGAATTTGTCTCAATACTTTTTTCCCTATCAATTTAAATTTTTGAACACATTTTTGTTTGTGCTTATGAATACACAGTTTTTGTTCAGATTTGTAAGTACAAAGCCAAAAGATATTATGTGTGTAAATTTGAAGTGGATATGTGCACTTACAGTTAAATATTAAATAACAAAAATGAAAGTGTCTAAATACTTCGACTCATGTAATTCCCAAACTGTACTTTGGCACCTCCATAGCTTTTTTTAAATTTGTGTTTGGCTTTGGAAATGGCTGGAGCACCTTCTACTCTGCGGGGTATTGGGACTCATTTCCAAAAAGCACATCTTTAGCCTTTGTTTCAAATTCTAAATTTATGCATGGGAACTACTGGTGCCTTAAGCAGTGAATGGACAGCTTGCAGATATGATTGCAGATATGATAATTTGATTGGCTACAATATAATGACAACACATTAAATATCATCACTGTAAAAATGCAGCTTAAAACATTTTTCTCCCCATTTGATTTAGTAGATGTGTGATCATCAAAAACAGTAACACTACAGAGTAAGGTTTCTGTTCCAGAACAGTTAAGGATGATTAAGTTTCTGTTTTGTTTTTAAGTTAACATTTCTTTATGTTTTTTTGTTTTTATTCCTCAAGATATTTTGGAGCCCAAGTCAAGGCATACCTGTTCATGTACAACAAAACCAAACTTCAGTGAAATCATACCATTGGACAAATTAGCAAGGTTAGTGAAATTAAATCAGTGGGGAGAAATAAGTACTGTTTAGGCCATATGATATGTTTGACACTTTGTCCAGCATTTTTTGACATAAAGCACTGGAAATGGATATCAATAATGTGGACTCAACATAAGTATGTTTTCACACTTGAAAAGAAAATTAAATTTTAGAGATCTGTGCATTGGCTACATTGCCGTAGTAATTGTAATCATGTTAAACTGATCTAAAAAAAAAGACAGAGTATATTTTCAGCTAGTTTGCTTTTTTTAACAAAAAGTGTCAGGCATATACCAAATTTATTTGACATATTATTTCATACTTTTTCACAGTAATTTATCTTATTGGTCATACCTACTTCAGTGGGCAAACTTAAGAAAATGAGTCTTCCAAGAGACTGATGCAATGCTGTAAATAAATCCTTCCTATCAAAACATTATCTTCTGTTACATGTCTCATCAAAGCTTTGTTTCATGTTAGACATGTCCTGGTTCATTACAAAACAGAAATGTGACAGAAAATGTGTTGAAGATAAAAGGCAGGATCGAGGCCATTTTATTAGGAACACCATTTCAAAACCCCTTGCTCTCAGAGCAGCCTGAATTCTTCATGGCATGGATTCAACTAGGTGCTGAAAAACATTGATTCTGGTCTAGGTTAACATGATCGATTGCATCATATAATTGCTGCAGATTTGTCAGCTGCACATTCATTGTGCCAATCTACATTATACTACTGTAGAAGCCAATGTTGTACACTAAACTCACTGTCATGTCAGCAGTTTCAGAAACACTCAAACCACTCCATACGGCACCAACACACGTCACGATCAAAGTCACTTAGATCACATTTTTTCCCCATTGTGTTTGATGTGAATATTAATTGAGCCTTTTGAACTGTGTCTGCATGATTTTATACACTGCACTCCTGCCACATGATTGGCTGACATGATTTAAGTCATTATCTCAATTAAGCTTTTAGTTTTTGAGCAACTCACCCTTGCTTCCTGTGGACATATATTTTGAATTTGAAGCTCAAGATATAAGTACAAAAAAGAAGTACAGAGATGCACATCTAAAATTTACACACAAGCATTTACACAACACCTGTATTCTGATCAGATAACAATAAAACTCTTAGGTAATAATTCAGCTAATCATAAAGAGGGGTTGTGCATGTGATGAGAGAACACCATACTTGCAGTCAAGTACGGAAGGAGCATCATGATATGATTAAGGCATTACACATCATCAAAAAGATGCCCCAAGATATATTACAGAAGAACTTAATCTCATTGGCCAAGAAAGACTGGGGAGAAGATGGATCTTTCAACAAGACAACAACCAAACTCAAGCTCAAGATATGCTTTAAAACTCCAGAAATGGGTCTGTAAAAGCAAAACCTGACTGCCTGAGGTAGAGTTTTCTACCAATTTCCAAAGCCAAATGCACATGTATAAAATGTCAGCTTAAGAGCTTGAGTGAAAAAAAAATATGCATATACACAACCCCATTCATTTTCACTGTGAAAAATGTAAATAAAAAAACGTTTTTTCGCTGTGTAAAATGTAAATAAAAACAAAATGCAATGATGTGCAAATCATTTAAACCTTATATATGCCTGTTTTGAATTTGATGCCAGCAACACGTTCCAAACAAAAGTTGGGACGGGGGCAACAAAAGGCTGGTAAAGTTGTGTAATGTTAAAAAAAACACCTGGGGCTGTATTACAGAAAATTCTTAAGCCTGAGATCTGCTTTGTTGTCATGGCAACTTCAGTTAAGACTGAAGTTAGGACAGAAGAAATTACAGAACAACAGTTCTTAAGTCTATAAACTTATCTTATTTCCAGATAAGAAAACGGTATTACAGAAATATCTTAAATTGCCAAAATATCCTAAATATTTTCTTAACTTTAAGACAACCCCAGAGCTGTCTTAACTTCTGTTTTAATCATCTGTTTCTATTGTTTTATGCAGTGATAGGCAGCATAGCTCACTATAACTAGCATAATGATGTTACATTTTTCTACACTGAAAACAGTGCTTTGACTTGTGAGTTTTTTTTTTTTAACTGCGTTTAAAACCCCCAGATGCTGCAGACACGATGTCCACCAACCCCTCTTATTACCTTCATGTGTTATTGTTCATGAAAACTCGTCAAACAAAATATTACGGTGATGGTGGTGAATAATGAGGAGACAGATCTGAATGTGTGTCTGTTTATTAGGAGGAATAATGTTAGCGTGCTCGGCTAAAGCGTTTGGGAAATGAAATTAAAGTGGAGAGCGGCAACGCTCTGATCAACAGCATGAAGTGCTCTCACAATATAGCTACTTAACTCTCAGTTTATCGCAGTTTAGTTTTATTTGACAGTAACAGCAGTTAACGTTAGCTGGCTAACTAACTTGATTATGTGTTTACGTTTCAGCTGTGCGGGTATGGTCGGTTGCTAGGTAAGAGACACGACAGTTGACTGTTGACTTCAATCGAGTAAATTAAGATTTCCTAACTTGAGATAAGAGGCTGTAAGATAAGATAAGATTAAATTAACATAAGATTTGCTTCTGTAATACGAATGTGTGAAAATCGTATCTTAACTTGTCAGATCCTAAGTTAAGACAAAAAGATACGAATTTTCTGTAATACGGCCCCTGGTGGTTAATTGGCAACAGGTCAGTAACCTGTTACTTATAACAAGTTATTTGGTATAAAAAAGCATGCCAGAGAGGCTGCGTCTTTCAGACGTAAAGATGAGGAGGGGTTCACCACTCTGTAAAGGACTGCACGATCAAATAGTGCAACAATTCAAGAATAACATTTCTCAACATAAAATAGCAAAGAACTTTTGCTTTTCCTCATCTGTGGTACATAATAACATTAAGAGATTCAGAGAATCTGGAGAAATCTCAGTATGCAAGGGACAAGGCCAAAAAACAGTATTTGCTGGCTGTGATCTTTGGGCCCTCAGATGGCACTGCATTAAAAGTGTAGTGGACGTCAATGCATGGGCTCAGAAAAACTTCTGAAAAACACCTACTGTGAAAAAGGTTCGCCGCGTGCATCCACAAATGCTATTTAAAACTGTTTTTGAAAAAGGTGCTATACAAAGTACCAAAAAGAATTCTGCCATTGTTACGTAACAGTAGAAGAACACTTTCTATTACTATATAGAACCTTGCACAAAATGTGTTGTCCTTAACTAGGCATATATGTGTTGTGTTGTTTTTAAAATAATTGTTCTTAGAGTATAATTTAAGCACTAATGCTGAAGCAGGCTTGCTGATGTGAAGTACTCTGAGAGTCAACTTCAGCTGAAGCACTCCACGTAATTAGCAGGGAGCATGCCTGACTTCCTTGTTCTCTGGACAGTGCCATACATCCAGCCCTCATCGATTAGCTGCACGTTGATGATGACATCACCATCCCGAAAGGAGACTTCGTCATGATCTTGGGCTGCATAATCATACAGAGCGCGATAAACACTCTGTTTCACAAACAGACAAAAATGACATGTTATACTCTCTATATATACTATATACTCATCATAAGGTCTATTTCAGAATAAAATGTAGAGGCTAAAACACAAGCTCTATTTTCACAATTTAATTGTAAAACTGTTATAACACGTTATATGGTGTATTTACCACACTAATGATGATGATGATAATGATTAAGATTCTTAATACACTGTCACAAAGTATTGTTGCAACACCAAGAAGTCCTGATAAACAGTCATAACAAAAATCATTCTCCTCTGAAAAAACACTTTCTACTTTTCTGCTGTTATTATGTTACTGACAAAATTAGCATAATTCCTCTGTTAGATTATTAACATTTTATACATGTCTATCTATCTATACGATACCAGCACTTAATTTTTACCGGATCCTGTCGGAACAAGATCCTCTCTATTTGCAGCGATTCTCTGCCTCTGGGGCATTTTTTAAAATAAAATAAAAATAAAATAAAATAAAGTAATATTGATAAACAAATTTATATTAAATGATACCTTCTTTGTGTGAAAACTCCTTTCCAAAAACCCAACTGGCTCATTTCATGGATGGTAATCAAGTTATCAGTCACATTTTGTGGGCTCAATTTAGCCGATTGCGAGATTTTAAAGTGGCAAAAAAGGCAACTAATTTTGCTGTCTTTTCTTAAAAAAGTAAGTAAAAGTGACAGGGCAGAACAAGATTCTAAAAATTCTGAAAATGGGAGAATGAAAAGGAGGACAGTGATCCATGCCAGTGGTAAACCCAGCACTAACAGTGATGTTAATGTTGCTAGTTTGGCACCAGGGCCAACAACAGTGGGAGCTTGCATGATACAGTTAAAGAGAGATGAGTAGCAGAGTGAAAGTGAGAGTTTGAAGATCTACCGAATACACAAGTGACATGCCTACGGAAGCATCAGAGACCAGCACAGAGAATTTGGACTGCAGCTCAGTTCATGATAAAGCAAATCTACTACCCCAGTTCAAGCTGGGGACTAACTGACCTTTGAAGGGGGAGGGGAGCTGTGTAGCATCCTGCTACTGCCTGGCGATGGAGCTGAGACACTCTGGAGGTGTGGCTAGGCAGATGCCCACAGGGGAAGGCTCAAGGTATGCACGCCCAGCAACAAAGGCACTATTTGTGTGTTTATTGTTGTAGTTTGTTCGTTATAGTTATGTGTGTGTGTTACTGGTGTTGTTTATTGTAAGGGGCTGTGGGATTGGTATGTGCGTGTGTGTGTGTGTGTGTGCATGTGTGTGTGAGTGTGTGTGTGTGTGTGTGTGTGTGTGTGTGTGTGTGTGTTGGGGGGGTCACTGTCAGGGTGTAGCCTGTGGCTGGTGGAGACCTCCCCTGTGAACTTATGTGTTATGTGTTTTTCTTGCTGTGTTCAATAAAGAACATATTTTGTAATAGAATCATGGCTACACGGGTGTTTTGTATTCCACCAATGCTACAACATTAATTTTCAGTTGATTTTATGGCACTGAAACCTACTGCATTAGATGGGCCTCTTAGAGCACTGTTGTATGTATACATTCCAGGACCTTTTCCTTCCCTACACTCTTGCTGCATCACCTCACCTTTGGTGTTCTGTTAACCCGTGTTTTACAAATCAAGTACTGTACTATATGTAATATTTGGCAGAATTCTACAGTATATATATATATATATATATGTGACTGGCCACCTGTCTAGGGTGTTTCCTGCCTTCTGCCCAGTGAGAGCTTATTATGTCGAGATAATTCCGCTGCTCTGCGGGGCTTAGATAAGATTAATTTGCTCATGTTTGTATTGTTATTTCTTTCTGTTCCTTGGGGGTAAGCAAATTTTCACTTTGTTTGTAAAAACATTTGTACATAAACGCATACTTTAAAGTACAAAATGCGTTATAGGCAGAGGCTTTAATGCTAGAACTGTGTGCGTAAATTGCTAATGCTCTCTTTCATTCTGTTTTCAACTATTCTGTGTAACACAGATTTAGTGCATCAATTCTAACTGAATTACAATATAGAGTGACATTCTGTTATTCAGACTCCAGTTATTTTTTAGTGCTGTGTTGTGAATGTCCCAGAGCCTAGTCAGTCTTGTTAAGCTGTGTAAATGCATTTTAAAGTTTTGCTTATGCAAATAAAATATATTACATGGCACAGTTGTCAGTCTGTGTTATTACTTATCTAAGAACACCAAGAATTTTTTGTTGGTTTATTTGGTTAAACCAAAGTCCCTCTTGTTTACAAGAACTCCCCACAACCTCAAAACATAATTGCTTTGGCTCCACAAAGTTTCAGCTAAAAGCCATAAACAGGGATTAGAATTTTATAGCTCAACAGCTGTCCTGGTACCAGCCCTGACAATAAAAAGCTCTTGCTGGAGACCACAGAATGACTTGACTAAAACCTCTCTAAGCAACAGAAAACCACATTTCTAAAGTGTGTATCAAATCCAAACTGCTTCAAGAAGACTGTTTCAAGAAGACTGGAGACACCAAAAACGAAGTTATTATGAGAATTTATAATACAGTTAGCCCTTTTTGGAGTTTATTGAGAATTTAGATATGGAGCCACAGCACCACCAAGTGGTGAGAATGAGACACACCTCACTGCTGAAAAGTCATTTGCTTAAAAAGGAAAAGGACCAAAGAAACAAATATTATTACAAGCAATATTACTTGTATATTATGTAGTTGATTACCTTGATTTCCTTTTTTTAAGATTTAACTAAAACAAAGGAGGGCATTCTTGGGGAGGCACTTGTAGATTATGCTACACCAATCAGAGTTGGAAACAATGAATAGCTAATTAACCATTAGGTGAAGAGAACCTATCAGTACTCACATTCCACCTCCAAAGGGGAGGGTCTACAGCCAAACAAAAACTGCACAGGATTTTTCAGCAGTTCTGCTTTGAAGAAAGCTAGAAAATTCATACATTTCGTACAGACCGAGGTCAGAAATAAAACAATTATCAGATCTAAAACTTTTGTTCATCTTTGTAACTTGTTTGTCAGTTTGTATACACTTCAAGTTTACACCACCCTTAGAGAAGAAAAGTGAAGAGGTCTGTTACCTGGCCAGTGAATCATTTCTTCAAATTTCACCTCAGCCAAAGAGAGGTAGTTAGTTAAGTTAGTATCACCAGCCTCGGAACCCAAACCTCGGCAGTGGAGTCAGTAGGTCTGATGCCACAAAAGACCTTGAGACCTCACCCAGAGCCACGCAGATTGCAGATTGAAGACTGCTCAAGGTCCATCTTTGAGCAGCCTCGAGGCGCCTCTGCCCAGGGGCTGACCGAGGCCATGTTTGCATTTACGGCTACTGCGGCAGAGTAGCAGTGAAACTGCTGGAGAACCACCAGTGAAACAAGACCCAGCGTGTGAGCTTGTCTCAATCCAGCCAGTCCTGAGATGACCCCTCCTGGAGGGCTTGAAGTTAGTTCCCTAGACTCCAAAGTAAGGCTATTTAAGTTTCCTTTGTGCATTCAGGACTCTGATGCTAACTTATTTAATGAAAACCCTTCACTGATATATCTACCCATATAACTACACACGTCCATACTTAGGTTATTTCCCTAGAGGCTCTTTCACGTCTAAGTTTCAAGCTGCCTTCCCAGGAAGTGCACCAAACCACACTGTCTCATACTATTTTAGCTGTAAAAAACATCACTTGAGCTTTTTTGTTTCTTTTTCCTTTTTTTATGATTGAAAGTAATTCAAATGTAGTTTTATACTTAGCCAATCAATTCCCTTTTGATTGAAGCATCCTTGGTGTGAGCATTTGTCTCTCTTGTTTGGTCTGTATATTTCAAATAAATCCAGGTTACTCTAACTTCTTGTCTAATGTTAACCATACACTAGAAAACTTTGAAGAGACTTCAAGACTAAAGTCCGACACCATCAATGTCAATGTCACAGTTTTTAGTCACAGACTGTGATTTTGCAAGGACTAGGTATCTTGCAGTGTCACTATTTGCAAGACTACAACTACATTTTTGATATTATTCCCCATCATACACCTGGTGAAAATTTACAAGCAGATAAACACTTTTCCTTCGACTCTATAGTGGTACAGATGGGAAGATACGTACAGATGGGCTGGACATGCAAAGGTCTGGGGCTCAGTCCAGTTCACTGTAGAATCAGCACCCAGATTTTTTTTAATTAACCTGTAAAATGTGCAATTACATTTAAAATTTGACATAGAGATTTACACATCAACAAAACATGAAGCAATTCAGCATTGTTGATTGGGTGTTATGAACTAAACCATAAAAAAACAAACAAACAAAATAAGAAACCACTGTAACAGAGAGCAAAAAAACAAAAAAAAGAAAAAAAAACATTCTTCAATAATGCCATTCTGAAAGTCCTCTGTACATTTCCTTACATCACTGTTACAGGCTCAGTGAATATGAAATATTAAAAGCCAGTTTACATTTTATATTAAAGTGGAGCAGATTTTTATTCTTTATCTGCATACACAAATCCCACATTTCTCACTTCTCACAGCATCACTGTGTAAGAGAAGGATATCTGGCCTCAAGGACAGAGGTAAAATACAACAGTGACCACATAGCCTGAGTTACAATGTTAATGGACCACCTCAAAGAAATCACCTTTCAAACACTCTAGGAAGCCATCCATCTCTTTCCCTCTCTCTCCTCTTCCTCCTTTACCATCTGCATGACAAGTGTATTCCCAGAGGTCATAAAATATTTAAAGATCTCTCAGACGTTGACTCTCACAAATCCTGTCAATTTCACTGCTCTTTCGTAAACTCCATTATTCCACATACATCCACAGCTCCACCCTGTGACTTAAGTAAGAAGTGCTGCACCTTTTAAATTCCATGACTCACTTGTTCTAAAATGTCCTTCAAATATGCCACCAACAATGTTTGCTGAGAGATGGAGTTCATATGACTCATTTACAGTCAGAGTGAATTTACATTGTCAAAACTGTTGAAATGTTTCGTTAAATCATTTTAAATCATTTT